AGCGAATCGCTTGGTGCGAGTTTGTGGAATCTTCACAGTAAAGCGGTGACGCTTCCCAGTACCCCTGGTTGTACGATAGTGAAAAGGTGACGACGGAATTATGTCGTGTAATTCCGATGCACAGTCGCCGAAATGTAACCGATATAAGACCGATAGACCAGCGACTTTGCGGCGATGCTCAAGACTTTGTACTCTCTTTTTCCAAAGAGCGTCGCTTCAAATGAGCTACTTGGCGCGCCTCTCGATGGTCTCCAACGCTTCAAGCTGGTTTTTGGCAGAACCATCCTAAAGGTGCGAGCAGTACTCCATGCAGGACCGCACTTGCGCTTGATATATTATAAGCAGCTGTTCCGGCGTGAAGTACCTTCGCACCTTCGAAAGGATACCGAGCTCCTTTGCAGCTAGCTGAGCTTAAGACTCAATGTATGAGCCTAAATTGAGCGTTGAAGATAAAGCCACACCAAGAAGGTCAAGGTGGTCCGTGACCGGTACGGTTAGACGTCAGGGACGTCAGGTATCCGAGTAGCACGTTGGACTAGCTGTATGAGTTCTAACGCTAAAGCGAGCTTACGCGTCTCTCTCCCGGCGTGGTCTGTTTTCCGGTATGGGAATAGCCACGTCTCGTGACAGGCGTTAAAATCCTCCAGAAACACAAGTTGGGCCACCGGGTACGTCACTTGGGCAGCATTCGCCGCCTCAACGAGATATTCGTGAAACCTGGTTGTCTCCACGTCTCCTGTGTGCGATCGGTAGACACAGGCATAGAGTATCTTCTCTTGACCTGTGTGCACAAGACCCCAAAGGACAGAGAATCTGGGATCCTCTAGATTACGGAGACGCCGATAGCAAATGTCGCCGCGGTTGTAAAGGCATACCCCAGCTTTCAGCTTGAAATTCTGCTCTAAGGAGATAGGTAGGAGGGTATCCGAGATACAACAAGTACAACGCGTCTGATGGATTTCCTATCTGCGTCTCCGCAAGAAAGAAGAGTGCAGGATTTACGGTCTCCAGATGGTAATGGACCGGCACGATATTTGAGTGCCTCTTATATTAGTGAGGTGCACTTTAAGTGTAAGGGAGTGCATCCGCTGTTTAGCCTTATTTCTCTTTCTTGCATGTGAAGGAGTGATTCGGTGTGAGGCTAGAAGTAAAACACTTGCTCCATACTCACGTCCTGTTGGCACGCATCAAACAGCAACACCGATGGGGAACTGGTCTGGAGACTGCGGGGACGCCCGAGCCCCCCGGAGTTGTCCATCAGGCCCTTACATCCGGTCGCCAACCGGCATGATGGCGCACTTTGGGATTTTTCGCTAGTTGGCGGGGCAGCCTTTCATGAGTGGCTAGCTCACTAGTTGGGCTTCCTACTAACTGCGGTCGGCCAGCGGAGCACCGTGCCTCGGATCCCGCTACCCTCTATAACCAGCTACCCGATGCCGCCTGCATGACACAAGCCAGAAATCGGCATTGAGAAAAGGAGCAACCGCTTCGACCTATCTCCATTAACGGCGTCGCCGAACATCGTGGCGGAACACGGCTAGGCCGCTTGGCGCCACGGCTTTGTTCAGTGGGTGGTCACTAGCCACGGCTTAAGCCTACCACTGCAAGCGACAACATACCACCATAGCAGTATGTTGTCGCTTGCTTAGCACCACCCAGGATCACGTGTGGGGTCACTTAGGGTAATCTCCCACGGAAGAAAGCGACTCGATCCCAAACAAACAAACTTATATAAATCCATCCTAATATTATAAAGAGGAAAGATTGATTGTTTGTTTGTTTGCTTTCATTGAACAGGCTCTGAAACTTCTGGACCAATTTAAAAAAATCATATGGTAGCTACCTCATATGGGGTTGACATAGGCTATAATTACATAAATTTTGAAGTTGCAGGAACAGCTAGTTTCCACATAAAGGCAAAATCTTGTAAAAATATGTTGTATACAAAAAACAATAATAGAAACTAGTACTATTTTAAATATCAATAAATCAATTGTAACTTCAAACAAAATAAGGATTTACAAATAAAGAGAAAATAAAAATAAAATAATAGAAGGACCAATAAAACTGCAAAAAGATGTTATCAATATTCAAGCACAAAATAAAACAATATAACAATTTTTTCAAACAATATAATGATAATGATAGACAGACTTATAGACAATAAAATAAAAATAGAAAATGTAAAAGATAATTATTTTAACAAATGTGCTGGAAGTTCAGTAAGAGTAAAACTGGAAAAAGATTTGTTCAAGATAGAGAAAAGGAGAGACAACTAAAGAATACAACATAGGAGTCAGTGCATGCTCGCTTGAACTGTACATACATATTGCAACGACATTAAGACCACGCATCAATCTTCCAGTGAACTGTAACGATAAAAAGAATCATGTCGGACAGTAAAGCTGAACTATGTGCCCTTATGAGCACGATCATGAACTCCGGACTAATGGGCCCGCTCTAGAGGATACGACGTATGCAATAATGCATTTCCCCGCCAAAAGAAGCTGCAGTTTTACGCACTATAGCGCTTTATCAAAACGGTCTGTTTTGCGTGAAAAAAACCAAAGACACAATGTTGGATAGTTAAAATGAACCATGGAAAATTTTGAACTTGAGCTTAACCAATGGTATACACGGTTTGTGACGAAAAAAATACGATAAAAGTATTATTCTGTGCCTAATATGATTACATAAATGAATACAATAGGGTCAATAATTGCGTAAAAAGTATCACTATCGATGGTAATCCACAATAAATAAAATAACCCTGCCAGAGCTCGAAAAAGTCTCATATAGGGTACATATAGGCTCCTGGTATAGCATCGCAGTTGACCGATTTTGTTAATGATACTCTCTACGAACATCCCAACTTATGCCTCTCCACACCATTATCGAGCCTCCATGAAAAGTTACAGTATTTGTAACAAACAAACTTTGTATTACTAATATACTGGCTGCTGCTGTAGGAGCCAGTCTCCTCCTGTCCCGGCGACTCGGTCACGGCATCCCGGGTCTCATCCCCAGGGGAAGGGTAAAACCGTAGGGGTTTTTGTGGGTAGGCCTTCGGGAGCCCACCGCGCGGCTAGCCACGGGGTGGGCTCACGTAGGAGAGTCCCACACACCCCCTGTTGCTTGCCGAGCGGAAGGGGTAGTGCCTAATGCATTACCTCGACAAAAAAAAGGAGCCAGTCTCCTGATTTCGTTTTAAAGAAAACAACATCTTTGCAGATATGGTATCGATATTAATAGCCACTGTATATTGTGTCAAGCCTTGGATTTAAGTTACGGCTTGTGCAACTTGTTCTGGTGTTGTTGATGGCTTTTCTCTGTTTAAAAGTATGCTAAGACATGGGCTAAATACCGAAAAATTAGATCCACAATCAAAATAACAACAATAGAACGCTCCATATATCATAAAACCAAAAGGTTGAATTTAATTACTGAAAGGACCCGATTCGAGTAAATGGTAAGAGTATCATCACATATACATGAGTATGGAGTATGTGATGGACTCCAAAATAATAAAGTTATTTCTTCATGAGTTTCTTATGTCAAATAAGGGAAGATGTTTGTGTACCTCGTGTGTTCATAAGTTTAGAGACGAAATAAAAGTCGCGTAACTTTTTCTTTACCTTAAGATCATATTTCAGTATTCTGTTTACTGAAACGCGCGAAATATTAGTCTGCAGTGCGAGTTTCTTCTGAGTGCGACATGTATTTCGGCGAAGTCGTTCTCAGATGATTTTGATGTTCGCTGGCGTCCTCACAGAGCGTGGCCGTCCACTCCTTTGGCGATCTTGCAGAAAATTTGTCTCTTTGTACTGCTGTATTGTGTAATAGACGAAGTTACGGCTTACAGGAAAACTTTTCAGTTTGGGATAATCTGCATCGGTTTTTTTTTTCGCCTTAAATAGCGAAATGAAAGTTGCACGGAATTGTTTCGTTCCCTCCATCACGAGAAAATATAAACAAATTAATTTAAAGTTAGTTAATTTAAAGTAATAAACTAAAAGTTAACATAAAAAGCAAATTGAAAATCGGTAAATAGATAATATTTTATTTTTTCAGTGAAATGTATGTCTCAAAACTTATGAACACACGAGGTAAAATCGTAAAGTACCAAGAACTGTGTCCCTTTTTCAACATGAGACCACCAAAGAAGGGCATCGATTCTATTTCTCAAATAAGAGACAAGAACACCCTAAGTGGTATTTTTAAACCCATCATAGTAATGTCCCCTACCTAATATTTCATGAAAATACAATCGAAAGCATTATCGCCAGTTGCACAAACGTCCATTAAAATTGACATTAGTTTAAAGCGACATTACCCATACAAATTCGACATTCATTAGAGCTCAAAGGCATCATTGCATCTTAATGGACATTTGTGCAACTGACCGTTAGTTTTATCTATACAAAATATTTAAAACATCACGTGAAGTCTCCAATTTGAATTTTGTACATGGATTGCATTGTATGCCATTTTAGAATATTAAAACAAACTTGGTGTGTACCATATATTGTATGTGGATGTTATTTTCGTATTATCTTATTTATGCCATTGCGTCATTTAAAACATGTTTTCAAATACGTGCGTCTTGCATACATGTTCAAAAAACCTTTGTGCTTTAATACGGAGATTACATGACTTTTTAATTGAGTACTTGTGTACGTTTATTAATATATTATTGTCATAAATAAACATTTTTTTTTCGGTCAACTATTTGTTTTCAAAAACATAACAATAACTTAAGTAAGATTTTTCTGGACGAGGAATGAAGTTTGATGCTTTCAGTCATAGATTAGAATTGCCTTTATGCTAGATCTGATAATAGATAATAAAGCTAGTGCGCATTATCTTATTTGAATAATCTATCAATTGTATTTAATTATGCAAGCAATAAAAGAAACTATCTCACAAGCATATTTAATAAGTTAATATGGCATCAAAATGTGTGATGTGTTGCGTTTAGTTTTATATAGGATGGTTAACAACTACGTTAGGGCCATGACCATGCGCGCGTCGGCGATGCCGGCAGTTAGGGGGGAAGTGGGGCGTGCGTCGCAAAAGTGGGTCGTCGCGGTGCTTGTGACGGCGAGTAGTCAAGTTCAAGGCCACAAACAGCAGGGAAGGGCCCACATTCGTCCATAGATGGCGCTACGCGATTCGATGTTTGAAAATTTTGCGAGCTCTGGGGTGCGGTGCGGGGAGAGGGAACGTGGTGCGGGAACAAATTTTCGGTGCAACATATATACGATACGACGCTGCACTCGTGTTCTGATCGTCGCGACGCGTAGTACTTTCGCGCGGAACCTAGACACAGACTCGAGCTAACTTAACACACCAAAAGCAAAATGGATTGGATGGAAATGGAAGATGTGGTTCGTAAATTTTACTTTCCTTCTCATTATTATAAAATATAGTCAAATGCTATATTTAGGTAAATAACAATACAATTTATTACTTACTAAAATGTTTCGCCTTGACCTATCCTAACATTTTATCAACAACACCGGCTTTTATTGCCCAAACTTATCAGAAATATTAAAAACTTCATTTGCCAATGACTGATTGAATAGTCCCAATTAATTCAAACAAGAAATTCTTTAGGTACTAAAATTGAGATTATAAATTATGCTTACTGAAATTGTTGATGTAATTTATACATATCAATGTGAAACAATTTCTAAAATCTCAATAGAAGATTCGACAAGAATAATGAAATAAGAATTTATAAAAGGCTTGTAGAGTGTTATTTGTGATATTCTCATAGTTTAAATCATGATGCGTTTGAAATATACGGGACGCAAAATGTAGATATAGTAATTTCATTTTCTGATGCAGTTTTAAAGTACAGAAGATATTATGATATGCTAATACTAACCTAATCGTGGACTGTTCATGACCTGCCTCAACAAAACGTGATCGATCGTAGGCCGCAAGAACAGTCTACCTAGCTTTGCTCTAACGGTAATTTGTCGTACGCACACACGTAACCTCTGAAATAATTGGGCGTAATTTCAAATATACAATTAAAAATATTGCTAATTTTCAACGAGTATTTCGATTATTAACATCGAAAGAAACGGATTTGGAGATTCTGAAGCCATAACACAAAGTATTATTGATAAATATTAATTATTTACTGACTATACATTTAAAAAATATTACCTGGTTTTGAACGCTGTGATGATAAAAATTATGTCATAATATGATTTATCAGAATAGGTACCTTTGAATATCTAATTGGATTTCGTGGAAATTTGGTCTAAGGCCGACTTTTTTTTCCAAGTTACCATTTATTAGTTTTGACTGTTCTTTTTATATTATATCGATTATTTGAAATCAGCATCTTATTGTTCATAATATTTGTTTTATTGTATTATATTTCACAAATAGTTTGTACATGATGTTTTTTGATAATGTGCAATCTATTGTTTATTTAGTCTAACTTAACTATGTACTCCGAATTACTATAATTGTGTTATTCTCTTTTTAATCTTATCGTCTTTGTCTGTGTTACTATCTTTTTGTCTAACCGTGAAGGTTTCACATTTTGTTTCTGTCAACAATATTTACTTAGAAGTCGAAAGAATTTGTAGATATATATTTTTTAATTTATTTTTCTTTCTTGGAAATATAAGTTTTGAATTGGGTATGAGTAGATTAACACATTCTCATTTTTATGTTGATCTTGATATATTTCTGAATTGGCTCAATCCATCTTTTGTTACACTGGTCAGTTTGATAACATTGTTTGCTCCTTCTTTGTATAGTTTCTTTCATATCTTGTAGGTGATATTATGTGTGGCTTGTTCTTAAATGATATTTACAAAGTGATCCTTATTTTATTTTAGAAAAATACTTGTTGTGTAATACCTTAATCTTTACGAGTAACTACTGTGGTTACCTATGAACTGTTTCTCAGTTTTTTACATCCATCAGATGAATTATTTTTTTAATCTTTCCTTGAATTTTTTAAGAATATTTTTTGTAGTTAGCAGAGTTTTAGTTCATATCTAATCGTCTATATAACTGTTGCGCGATGCACATGATTGTATATGATACGTAACGGCCTTGACTGAGCTTTATCTACATACTTCCAATCTTTCCATTGCAGTACCGAATTGTCTACTGACATATATTTTAATGGAATTTTAAAGCTTCCTAAACGACTTATTGTTATTTTTTTCTAGAAAATTAAATAGGATTTAAACAATAGCGTCTGTAATTTCTTTTTTTTTAAAGATAATAAATTTCACTACCTTTCCACCGCCAAATGTTATATTTTAATAAAACTGAAAGCTTCCTTAAAATTATGATGATATGTCATCTCACTTGATATGATGTTTGATTATGAATACTAGGAAATTTATTTATGATGTCAGGGTACCTATGTCGATCGTTTTTCTTACGAGTTACATGTTGTAGTAATAATATTTTTATTTACATTTTTGTCACGGTTTAAACGTCATTTTATATTAACATCGGTTAGAAATATTTCTTTGTGTTAATTGTTGGAAAAAGTATGAAAATATTTTTTATTACTTAATATGATATACATTCTATTTTCACAACTTCAACGATTATTATTCCTGATAATTTATCATCATATGTATCGACATAAGGTTAAAAGACCGAATGATCAGGGGCCTGTAGTTGATAACATTAAAAGTATTTAGTATAGTTACTTCCGCCATTATATCATTATTTCTACGAAACATTTGTGTTATATTATCTTTCATCTCGTACAAGTTTATTTATATAGGTTAATATTCAAAATATTTTGTCAACAAATATTAATCAATACCCACACAGTCATTGGTTACAGTTAAAATTATCGTTTTTTTATTTACTCTGGTCTAGATCCGTTGCACGAGTTGTTTTTATTCTATCTGATTTCACACAAGTTCACCGTAGATAAAAACCAAGCGGAATGCGATATGCAACGTTAAAAATACTCAATTATCGTGTCGGCGGCAACCTCGCCGCTGGTAAATAACCAAGATCACAAACATAACTACTGAGCTTCAAAATGTTGTTACATTATGTTGCGAAGCATATATCGCTGCTCAGTCATAGATAGATACATTGGTGGCAGTGCAGTAGGAGCAATATAATGCGAACTAATCTGAAGCTTTAGTAGATACGTGCATAATTGACAATGAGTGGACCGAGGTAGGATGGGAGTGAGGGGGCTTGAGCGGGAGATTTGGCAGTTGGCCTTGACAATGAACCGGCGGCACGCATACAGTGGAGATTTTGTTCGTATTTGAAACGCACGCACACATGCCATTGGAAGTGATTCCACGATTGCCTCCCACACAATCAGATTTTAGGGTTGTATCCATCGTGGTTGATCTAGTAAAAAAATATTTCCAAGGTTAGTTCGATGAGTAATGATTTTTTCACCATCGTCATCCGATGAACAGAAAAACAATGTAGAGACGATTCTCTACCTTGTTTTTCTGTTTTACTTTTGCAATGTGTCGATGTATTATAGTTGTTTATTGAGTACAACTGCTGTAGCTAGGTATTTTATCTGATTAAAATTACAACGTATGTTCTATTATATTTTGAATTGGTCTGCTTGAAACGTTTGTTTAACACGCAACTTTCTTCAGAGTTAATGTTTGACGTTATTGTTATTGAGTAATGGTGTACTATTAGTTTACTTCCAACATCGTTATTGTTATTGATTAATGGTGTACTATTAGTTTACTGACGATTATGTTATAGGTAAAGTAAGTTACATGTTGCCGAGCCAAGTTGATTTAAACAATATTGTCATTGGTTTGCTGGTTCGATAAATCAATTCATTTAAAAGTTATTTTTTAATGTAATGAACTTAAGTTTACTGGTTTGCACAACCCTGTAGTCAAAAAAGTTAACAAATGGCAGGCTGGCGGCTGGCGGGCGCGCCGACGCTTCATGCCTGCCCTAAGACAACTTATAGATAGACAGCCTAGGGCTTTTGGGATGTTTATTGGTTGACTGAGCTCGCACATTCAAAGGCACCAACTGTGTGTTTTCATAAATGCCGTTTATTACTTTTTAGATTTAAACGAGTTCACAAGGAGACTTTAGTTGTATTTTGTCTACTTCTAACTAGAACTTCGTTTCTCATATATTTTTTGTTAATTTGTTTAACGAAAAAAGCATATGGCATAGACTACAAGTATTTAGAGATACAAGTGATGCTCCACTTGTTATAATTGCATTTTCTTTATTATCTATTGATTGTTATATTGATTTTAGAGTTTTATAGCTAACATTGAAATTCTAGTTTGGCCCTCTCCGTCGGTCTCTCTTCAAAGCGTAGCTTATAGCCTTTTGGCACTAGAAAGCTGCGTATGTATTGTGTACGGATATACCCTTATCACTCCGATTAATTAGTACCCAAGTTAAATAAATAAATTTTGGGCTCCTCCCCTACACTGTGTTTGATCCAACACACACTTAACCAAATTTTCACCACTTTTATGAAGTAGAAGAAGTAGTACATAACAGTAGATGTTAACATATATCTTTTTATGGTATTATAGTGTTATTTAAAGTATATTCTATCCCCACATCGAATACCTATGTTGTAATTATTTGTTTCTGTCCATTTAATTGACCTGACATTATAAAAGAGGGTTGCCTTTTTCATTTTTACAATATCTATGAAAACTATTTATTTATTTCAACAAAATGCTTTATTTCTTTTCGAAATAGGTGCATTTAAGTTTTATGTACTTTGCATGAGTTGAAATGTTACCAAGTATTTGAAATAGATTTTCTACTCTGAAGTTGATATAAAAAAAATATTAAAGGTTCCAAGGCTGAAAATGATGAAAATCGTAGACGAATAAAGTCGTTAAGTGATAAATCAGGAGAGTATGGGCAATGAGGCGTTAATTTGATGCTTTTCTATTTCAAATAGTCGATTGATTTTCGTAATGTATGGAAGCTGAAAATAGTGATGGAGAGTGATGCGGTGTTGTTGGTTGTTATTGCAGATTTTATCAAGACTTTTGGCAAACAAATTATTGTATAATAATTCAGCGTTAATTGATATTCGATTCTGTAAAAATGATAGCGAAATTTCCAGTAGTTAAAGAAACGAGGGTGCATTTTCTTGGAAGTGCTCGATGAACGCACATCTTCGAACCTTTCTTGAGCTTCTGTAAAATTTAATGTATTATTTAGTATAGTCTACGATATACTATTGAAATTTTCTAAATAACTGTATATCCCAAACCGGTCTTCTTAAATCGTCTTACGCACGGTGTCGATCATTTGGAGTTTATAAGTGACTAGTGGACGCCCGCGACTTCGTCCGCGTGGAAGTCGGTATCCCGTGGGAGTGAGAAGTTTTCCCAGTAAAAAGTACCCTATG